TTATTTTTTGAAGGCTTGAAAACAACAATCTTCTCCCGCAGTTTTTCATAACGATTCTGTTTCGTTTTCATGCGACCATCCTGTATTTCTCAAACCATTTACGAAATAACAGTATGATTTGAATACGCATGATACTCTTTCCAATTGATTTTAGCAGAAACACATGAATCATTGTTTTGATAAATTTTAATTAAATCTTTTTTAACTCCTATATCCTCTTGTGAGACGATATAGGGGTTACTTTTTTTAAATGAAAAATTACAATTTTTCATCATTATAGTTTTCCTAAAGTTTCTAGACGTTTATTGGAATTCATACATTCTCAATCTCTAATTTTCTAGCCTTTTTGAATCGAAAAAAATATATTCTTTCACCTTTTCTGGGACAATTGTTAGTGAATATTCCTACGTTTGTCACTCCCTATCTGTCATCATGTAAATTTTTAAATAGTAAATACTGGTTTCAAAAGACAGGCATACATTGAAAACTACAAAATGATCATTGAGGTCACCATTATGCAATAAACCGCTTATATTACGTTGTTTCTTTGACTATAATTAAGACCGTATTTATCAAAACTTACCAATTACTTTCGAAACAACATTAGATTCGAGATGAAAGGTTGATTCTCTCGCATCTTGAAATAAAAAGTAAAAGTTGTTAGTTTCACTCTGCTGATGTTTTGTAGGTTAATGAATGCTTCATTTGAAAATATTCGATTAGGGTGATTCAGATGGCAGAAATTTTTTGTTTTTGGGGAAGTAACTATGAACTATGCGTAACTTTCGCTGAGTTTCCCCAGGAACAATCTTTGGAAGACCACTGATGGAAAGTATAAGAGTATCATAATGTTTCATTGAAAATTAATGTTATGGTTGAAAATACCTTTAAAAAACCATATGACTTTTCGAATTATAAATAGAAATTGTAATTCATTAAAAAATCATGCAAATTTTGGATTATACAGTTAGATATCCTTTGTTGAACTAGAAATACTGGTAACTCATTTCTGGAGTTGATCGATGAATCCATATTGATATTCAGACCCAAAATTTGCAGTATAAGATGTAAAGTTACAAGCTCAATGAAAAATATAAATGAAGATTGTGTGTTATCATGAACTTTCATTTAGTATCCATCACATATAATCATAATAATAAGTTGGAATTATAATTAATTTCATATACCTTCAATTATCGTTGTTTTAACACATTGTAATAATTTTGTCTTCAGAAATTATTGAAGGTATATGAAATTAATTATCATAATAATTATATTTTCATGTAGCTTGAGAACCAAATCAGTTTTCAATTACTTTCAACTGAGCCGGGATTAACGACTGGCGGTTACTTTTGAAAACCGATGGTAATCCATCAGCAACTCTAGAAACTCGCTTGAAAAGCAGTTTAAATTCTTCTTTTCCATGAAATCCATATTTCAGAATGAGAAAATCGGAAATGTTGATAAACTGAGTGTTACAAAATCCTGATCATTCAATAATCCTTATTTCTCTTCTCTACTCATTCACCACAACCAAGTTCTGGACATGTTTATGAAGCCTACAGTTCGAAGTGCATGTAGAAACATCTGGTTAACGAGGGGGGCAGTAGCTGAAATGGTTGATAGCTGCGGTGACATTCAGAAATCCTGATAGTCGAAGGAGTCTACTTAGAAAACTCCCTTGTCAGTTTTTCTTGATCAGTATCTCAATTTTTTTTAAACTAATCAATATAGTTCATTGTATGATTTTCACTATAAAAGGGTTTCACAAAAACCGCAACACGTGTTTCGCTATACAATAGCTTCTTCAAGCATAAACTATGTTATATTGATTAGTTTTTCAATATGGATTTTCATCAAGTATCTCATCAAGTATCTCAATTTTTTCTCAAAAAGCATTATCATGTCAATATCTTGGAATGTCATGTTTCATTTCTCTTTCCTCAGACACTGCAAACCCAACTATGAACTCCAAAATAACTTATTTTCAACCAGTGATCACGTATTGTTATTGAACATGATGTAGCTGACAAGGAAATCATTGGAGAGTATTGGAATAAAAGAGTTGTCCTTCTTATAAAATCATACCACAAGCATTTCCATCTGACGGAAATAGGTGCAACTCAAATTACTAATCGATAACTAGTCTCAGTGACAGAAAACGTTTACAAAGTTCTTTACCATTTCAAAAGATGGCGTTAACAACTATAAAAAGTAATATAAATCAGGCTCTTTGTTATGTGTTATGAGTATGACATGTAGTAATTTACATGAATTGTTCTGTTGTGTTGTGATTGATAGAAGTACTTTTGCCCCTCTACAGTTTCCAGTAGATTGAAAATTGGAACCCAAGCACGTTTATTGGTTACCAGTCATCAGATAGGGTATTCTTGTCTCTCCGATATCTGATATGTTTTCAGTCCATTTCGGGAAATATACAGTGCCTTTCTTTATTGTCTCCCTTCCTTTTATTTTTTGAACTGATCAACTCAAAAAAAATCGAAATTGGGAATAATAAAATTAATGGGATCTTGTAACACATCTTTTTGAAGCTCCTGATGAATGCTTCACAACCCTAGAATATGATATCAATATCTTCACCTACTACAAAACGGCGGAACTTTAAATAATTGCCTGAATACATTGACATTTACCTACATAATATAAGGTAATAAGCTTAAGGTTACTTCAGAAGATACTCGTAATGGTTGCCTTGAACTTCTTGACATATGAACAGCCTCGAACACAGTAACAATATCTCTACAAATATTCATTATTCTCTGCCGTATATCCAATATTGAAGCAGGTTCAGTTTCGTAAACCTTTCGCTTCAAATAGCCCCTTAAAAAAATTCCAAAGTTGTCAAATCTGGCGGGCGGGCTGGCCATTCTGTAGGACCTCGACGGTCAATCAAACGACCGGGAAAAGTAGCATCCAAATAGTTTCCTACTTATCTGGAGTTATGTGGTGGCGCTCCATCTTGTTGGAATATAATATCCATATCGAATTCGTTAGGATTTGCTTCGACGATTTCATGATATGAACACCGAGCGAAAGACAACTGAATGTTTGGATCTCCATTCAGGGGTCTTTATCCAGTATTTAATAATGTTCATAGAAGAAATAACCATCAAATACATTCATTGAAGAGTAGTCCTAAGTCATTTCATCCATATACAGGGTGTTTCAAATTTGATCACTACCATTGGGATCTCGGAAACCATGAGAGATAGGAAGATAGTTGAATTGGGGCAAATTTGCGCATTTACCAGACTAACACTATGCCGTTGAGAAAGTTCTGAAATTCAGAAATTCAGTTGTTTACTATTTATGCTATTACTTGACAACCAAACTCCACAAAAATACGTTCAATTCATCAATTATTCTCATTTAATTTCCCAGCTTTATGCATGGTTGCTACTTGTGATTCAACAAAGTTGTGTGGCGCCCCACTTCAATGTTGATTTGAATTCGATGAAAATAATCTTTTAACGAACCCATAGTGCTCTCCAGCCAAAAGCTGCCGTTCGCTAATAAATGTACAGCAGCGGATTATTGAATTATCAATAATTTGCTGTATCATAAGTTATCATTCTTTTTCGAAAAATTGAAGATATTGAAAAAAATTAATTCTTATCATAATAGACTTTTCAAATGTACCAAACTCAGTGAGATTTTGATCCAATAACTTGAACATAGTTCGATGTGGTTGTCGTCTTTCGGTATACAAGTTTAATTTCGATGTCCTAACACTGTTTCTATCGTATTTGTAATAAATTTGTATCATATTTCTTTTTTTCATTCGTGAAAGCCATTTTTCGCCAAAAATTCAATGACTCGTACAATAATAAAATATCATTGAGTCTAACAAATTGAAAGTCAAATCAGGAAACATCGAAGTCGAAACCCATTATGATAAAAATTGATTTGTTCAATATCTCCAATTTTTCAAAAAAGAATGGAAACTTATGATACATCAGATACAGAAAGAATCTAATATAGCGCCCGTAAGAAAAAATAAAATTGATGATGCTGGCCGGAATACGAAACGTCGGATAGCAAATCTGAAACCACCATTATGTAGCAGGAAAGAAGTGGCAATATGGAAGTGCAATTTATTTTTGAATCCTTCGAAAAATAAAGCCAGATAAAAATAAAAGCCATTTTTCAAAATTTCAGTTTTTTACGAATATCTCCAGATATACTCGGAACTTGAGAAGTTTCTCAACGGCGTATTGTCAGTCAGGTAAATGCGTAACGTTATCCCAATTTAACCATCTTTGTATCTCTCATAGTTTCCAAGATCCCAATGGTGAGGTTCGAATTTGAAACACCCTTCAGAAACTCCTATAATTTTACTTTCACTTCTGAGTATAATTTGTATGTATTTGAAATTAACGTTTTCAGAGAGAAAAATGCCTCAATGAATTCAGAATAGAAAATATGAATATCAGTGAATAATAAAAAATACCTTTAATTTCATTTTACCACTGGATGTAACAACTCAAAATACGAACTTTCACCTTGAAAATTTTCGGAAATAGATATGGATTCTCATCCATCGGATTTTCGAAAATGCCTCCATTTTGCTGCAAGCATTTATCGGCACTCCTCGAAAGCAAATGTCAAGATGAAGTTGTCAGAGATTTCTATAAGCGGTTTTATTACTAAATTTCATGTCACCCTTGGTGGTTGACCATCTGCCATGTTTTTTTGAAAAAAAAATTTATATACTGATAAACAAGCTCCAGCTTGCTGAAAAAGTTGTGGAATTCACGTAGATCGGTGAGTCTGACAATTACCTGCGGCAGGATACTACTAAACTATATAGAACTGTTTCGTTTTGCAGAACATAGAAATTATTATCATTATTACTATAACTCTTGGAGAAATATCTAGCAATCAACGAATCTGATGTTTCCCTGAACTTTACCTGTGAATTTTCAGGTATCCGTTGGTTATTTGATATTTTATTAATTTTTAATCCTACGTCCTTACAGTAACCATCCAAGGATCAGCAAACTTCAAAGGATTCTTCATTCAAGCCAGAGATGTCGCCACCAACGAGTGGATCGGAGATTGGGTAGAAACACCGAATACTAAAGTTCATTCAGAATGTAGCGCCATCACACATGGAGATCCAAGAGCGAAGCAGTCGGCTACATTAGTCTGGCAGGCTCCTCAAAATTCTAGGGGAGGACAAGTCTATTTCACGTAAGTTCATTTTTCCCAAACATTATTATATCGAGGCCAACTGAAACTTTCTCCCACTGTCACACTTTTCTTGATGCTGACACATTTTTTCATGGCTATATCCGAAATCTGGCTCAAAGGCATCATCAAAATTTTCTAGGTTCATGGGTTCAGTAATGTCACTTTCTTGAAATTAGACTTCAGTATTACCAACAGCAACATTTCTAGTTTTTTTCAAATCTTAGGAAGGAAATTTTCAACTGCTGAGGTTAAGATTTTTGCATATTTCGTGTCGGCTTCTCCTTCATCATATTGATCTTATAGTCGAAGTGAATGATATTGTGCACATTTAATGGTGGCGGCTCTCTTGAAGGCCAAAAAAACAAATACATAGAAATAAACGGCAGCGAACTAGTCGGGAATACTTGAAATTTTTCAGACAAAAACATTTGAAAAATTGTATGCCCTTGAGAGTATTGCTGAAAAGTATGGACACGCCATACTGAGACTTCACCCTATTATTGTGTTTTCAATCCCATCGAGTTGATTTGGCAATAACTGAAACCAAGTATCAGGCGTAAAAATAATTTTCTAAAATTTGATAAAACCGTAATTGAGGTAATTAAAAAAGAAGTATCTAATATTACCGAAGAAGACTGGCAGAAAAGGATTAAAAAAGTAATTTTAGTTGAAAAAGACTATATGGAGATTGGACACTTCCATATTAATGGTGGAAATAAATTCATTAATACTTATATAATCAGAAATGATTATTAAATAACGGAATTAGTTAGCTCCCTAACTATATTATTGCGGTGAATCAGCGCAGAGGTCGTGCGGAAGGATGACCGGGAGGTCGTAAGTTTGGTCCCTACCGCGACCAGATATTTTTCTCGAGAGAATTTGTCTAGTTGAAGCTGGTATGATTCTGCAACGTCACACGGCTGACGAAGTGCGAATAGCCATAATGCTCCCTTAGTGGCTCGGAGAGTTATTAACATTGCCTACCCAGGACACGAGGCTAATGACCAAAGTAGTCGATGCCCATGGCATCCAAAAAAAACTATATTATTAAAGGGGAGCTGTTGGAAGGTAAATTGCACTATAGCGTTTTCTTATACTATACCTTCGTAGTAAGTCACAAGAAAGATGAATTGGCAGAAATTTTGGGAAATTTGAATTATTGGATCATGAAAATCCAGTCCACAATGGAGAAAGGAGAGGAAGAGAAAATTGATTTTTTGTATGTATCAGTGAAAAGACTAAAGAGTGGCAGAAGTATATAGACAACCAACCCATACGGACCAATATTCAAGCAAGTACTCCAATCATCATCCGCGACAGAAAAGACGGGTTAGTAGGACTTTGGTAGAGAGAGCAAGACCCGTCTGCGAATCGAAAGGGCTACAAGAGGAAATGTGTCATATGAAGATTGCGTTTTCAGGTAATGGATGTAACAAGATCGAAGTCAAACAAGCCTTACAACCCATACAGAAACACTTCACGGTCAATGAAAGAACTTTTTCGCTCCACACAAGCGATGTGATGGACTGACTTGAAAGGATCTTCAAAAAACATGGAGTTTGGTCCATTTTCAAGCCCATAACAACGATAGATCAGCTGAAGACCCCAGGGATCCGAGTACCCCAAAAGTATGCCAGATACCGTTGTGGTTCGTTCTGCATCGGAACTACGAACAAAAGCATCTTGTAAAAGAGAAAACAAAACTTCACAAACGGTTCAAGCAATCCGGTGATTATGATGATTACAGAGGTTTTTCAGACGTTCGCAATCAATGTAAACAAGTCAGTGGTAATTGCTATAAACATTATATCACTAATATCGAAAACAATATAAAGTCGAATCTAAAAACATTCTGGAGGTTTGTCAACGATGAGCGGAAAAATTATGATCTTCCAGGCAAAATGCACTCACAGAATCAATATGAAAACTCCCTAGACGGAGTTGTGAATCTTTTTGCAAATCACTATTCCTCTGGGTTCACTTCTCACGATAATGTACATATGCCCAGTTGTGGTTTGATAAATGTATCCATTTCGGCCATGTTGAGATATACAGATTTTTCTAAAGCATTTGATAGGGTCAACCAAGATTTGCTTATCGTCAAACTGTCTTCGTTAGGTTTTTATGGACCAAATTTGCAATGGGATCCAGAGTTTTACTATCTGGTAGAAGCCATATAGTAAAAATAGGAGGCTGTGCATCATCCACAATTTCTGTTCCTTCGGGTGTTCCTCAGGGTTCCCACTGTGGACCTTTGCTATTCAACATATTTATTAATGACCTAGTTACAATTATAAAACATAGTGAGGTACTGATTTTCGCTGATGACGTAAAAATATTCAAATTAATTTCTTCTACAAACGATGTCTCACTCATTCAAGAAGATTTGTCACTATTTTATGTCTGGTGTGTTATGAATCGAATGAATTTGAATATATCAAAATCTTTCTGTCAAACATTTTTTAGAATTATTCACCCTGTTCTACATTACTACAGTATCAATAATATACCAATTAATAGGACATCATTGATAAAGTTTTTAGGAATTATATTCGATCGTGAATTGAACTTCAAATGTCATAATGAGTATATTATAGCTAAATCACTCAAAATGTTGGGCTTCATCAATAGATCATGTGAGGAATTCAATTTGAACACTCTCAAGTTATTATATTGTTCATTAGTTAGATCATTATTGGAGTACGCTTCAAGAATTTGGTGCCCATATCATGAGATACACATAAACCAAATTGAAGCTATACAAAACACTTTCCTAAGGATCTGTGCATACAAGTTGGGTCTAAGAAGGGAAGAATATGCATACAACAACATTAGAGATCAGATGAATCTATTATCTTTAAAGAATAGAAGAATTATTTTAGATGTATGTTTTTTTAAGCAAACTTTCAACTGGCAACATCAACTGTGAGGAGATTTTATCTTCAATTAATTTGAATGTCAACATACAGACCAGAGTCAGTACCGAAACATTTATAATACCGCTCCACTCCACAAACTATGATTTTTTTTCTCTCTTGTCACTCGAATGCTCAGAAATGGGAATATGTATCAACAGGTTGATATCTTTAGCAGCTCCACAAATACCATCAAAATTGAACTGAGTCACATTATTTCCTGAAACACTTCCTTTGATTATTCTATACTATTTCATCATTATATTGTTTTCTTTTTATACTATATACTATATATCATATTATTATTATTGTGCTATATATTTATCATCTTCAGTTCAGTTTAAGATTTCACAAACTTTTTTTTCTTTCTTCTCCATGACAAAATTGGACTGTGATTTTATCACTATATTATTGTATTGCGTTTTATATTGTATTATGTATTTATTGAATTTGTTATCTTTAATTCAGTTAAGATTTTACAAATTCTTTTTTTTAACAAATTATAATTGGGACTGCCCGTTGAATAAATTAATAAAAATAAATAAAAAAAAAACAAAAATGAAATGTCCTGAACTAAAATAAGAATGATTTAAACTGTAAGAAAGAGAGCTCAAATATCAACAAGACACGGATACCGGTACTTCGTAACTCAAATATTCTCCCAATGATTAAGAAAAGTTCGGGCAAAAAGTGTAGATCAGTTGGCCGTTCGACACCTAGTCCCATAAGTACAAGTGTACCACGACTAAATTTCACTACTATGTTAGTGTTTTTATATGCTAGTGGCCTAACTACTACCTGTTAGTATTACCTAACTACTACCGGTTAGTATTATCTAACTACTACCTGTTACTTTTTGGGAAAGACAATTTTTGGCTTTCTACTACTCCATCTCGATACAAAAAAATGTGGGAATCTTCCAAAGAACGGAAGGAAGTAATCAATTTGAAAATAAGTAACTCAATACATGGATGTGAAGATCATACAAAGAAGCAACTTTCAGACACAAACTGGAAGAAAGCCCTCCTGAAACAATTTTTACATGAATACTGAATTATACAGAAGATACTTTTCTCTACTCAGTTTGTAGTTCAAATATTCGATATGGAATAAAATTCAGATATCATTCACAGGAGTTCCACTGTAAATGAATGGTAACAAATTGCACTTACATGGAACACTGTCATCCTCACTGGTAGACATCGATGTTTCGCTATAAGACACTTGCCTTAGGGCTCGTCAATACCAAATTGGATAACATTATAGAAAATACACAAAATTCATTCATGAATTACAATTTTTAATGTCACGAAATATGATTGATCTACTTATGACATCGTAATGACATCCATTTACCTGTTTAATTAAATCCCAGCCAACAGGAATCTAATTTGAATTGAAGGGGCTATATTTTCAGGAGTGATTAATTTTTGGGAAAGAAAGTTTTTAGCTTTCTACTACTCCATCTTGATACAAAAAAATGTGGGAATCTTCTAAAGAAAGGAAGAAAGTAATCAATTTGAAAATAAGTAACTCTATACATGGATGTGTAGATCATGCAAAGAAGCAACTTCCAGATACAAACTGGAAGAAAGCCCTCCTGAAACAGCTACTTTCATATAAACATTGAATTACACGAAAGAAAAAAATTCTTTCCTATAAATTGATCACTCCTAAAAATATAACCCATTCAATTCAAATACCTGTTACTGTTCCTATACCAAACTACCTCTTTTTCAGTCCCTTTATTTTGTTATGTATCTTCTTTATGTTAGTGACTATTCCCTACATTTTTTACCTAATATTTATCTGTTCACGTATGAGACCAAACGAAGGGCTGTTCGAAATATGATCTTTGTTGCTATTCATAGAACTCACTCCACAGTTTTCGATTTCCAACCTTTTGAAGGCATCCAGGGCCCTGTTGTCATGTACCGGCCTCAACAATTTTAAACATTTCTCACTTATGCTGTGGTCGTTCTCTATAGTGTGTTGATCGACACTAAATTTTTCCGGTCTATGAAACCGAATATGCGAAACATGTTCCTTGTAGCGAGCTAATATAGTCCGTTTGGTTTAACC